CAGAACATAATGACATCGTGAAATGTGTCTTAGTATAATCATAAGTTGGCTAGATACTATTTTGTTAAGTACACGACCCCACAAGCTTTTTAGCTTTAATTCTTATCGTGTATAAATAAAGATTCTACTACTACAATAACTACTACTACTTCTTGAAGACACCTCTTCGATGATTTTCGACCAAATGTCCTTCCACTTTTATTCCAGCTGAAAATAGAAGGAATGGTAGTCTTGTCCTTCAGATCTTTCCTGCCACAAAACTGTTTTTTTATTTCCTCTGGGCAGAAATGATGTTCACACACCTTAATGTATTCACTCTTACGAAAAAAGTGCCTATTTTATATTTATTTTATATCTATTTTTAAACTATTTTCTACCTATTTTTTTTGTATTTTTTCTCTATTTTCCAGACTAATTGAAAGCTGTTTTTTAACTATTTTAAAGCTATTATTTTGATACAAAAAATAGTAAAAAATAGTCTGGTTTGCAAGTCACAACTACTGTAAAAATAGATTTCAAATAGAGAAAATGCGCATGCAATTCATTGATAAAATAGTATTAAAATATCATTAATGAAATATTAGTTATAAAATAAAATAGACATAAAACAGGGATAAAATAGAAAAAAAAACCAAAAATAGGATGTAAGTACATTTAAAATAGACATAAAATAGGAATAAAAGAGGAAAAAACTTGAAAAAATAGGAATCAAATACCNCAGTCACAACAAATCCATCTCGGTGTTCTTGTCTCTTTATAGCCAAAAGCCAACGATTTTTAACTTTGGCTTCCAAAGGGAAAGAAAAAATGAAATGCCAGTTCTATTCCCTTGGTTTTCGTAAAACGAACTTTGACAATCAGGCACGCAGCAATATTTACTTCGGCCACCAGGCGCAGAACCCAAACAGTTGTCCGCCATGTTTTAGTTTTGTCCATACTAGCCTCGCTTTCATGGTTAAGCCCGTGGGCTTGTGACGAATGCGGGAAAGATCTATTCCTTCTGATCAGTAGTTAAATTTTTGTTGACTAAAGCTTTTTGTCAACATTACTTCTCGTCTAGTGATTTCCGCTAGAAAGACTGCCTCTTTTGCACACATAGTCAAAGATGGACGCAGAAAATTATGAAATATCCTTTGAATTCGCAAAACTTCTAAGCGCACAAATTGCCTGTACAATGCATGTATTCTCTGAATTCTAGAGCAAAACAACCTATATGAACTAGAAATAAATTATACTAACTTGTCAAACGTTTGTTTAGGTGTTCAACGCTGAAGATTCCCTTTTAAACTCTTTTCGGAGACTGAAGTAAAAATGTGCTTACGTTTCGCCTTAATTAGCCGGAAATCAAAATCGAAATCGAAAGCCAAGAGCACTTCTTACCAGCTATCGACAGAAATTCTTAAAAATCATATATTCATCTGAAATCCCACGCTGTGATCTAAACCATGCGCTAATAAAAACAACATCAATAGCATTGCTAAACGTAAAGCGACGAGGGTAAAATCTGCCGTATGAGGACCACAGAGTCAAGTTTAACTCAAGGAACAAACGGTTTTATGACTGACAAAGATGCTAATCATTTTCAAGTGAATACAATCGTCTTACCAAAAATTCACAGTACATGTCACTCGTCAACATCAACGTCCCAATTCAAACTTCTACCATCTTGAAACTAAACAGATAAGAGAAATGTATTTTAGATAAGTATAAATAACACAACGAAGTTTTCATCGACGAAGTGGTTACATAATTTACGACCAAGTATACAAACCAAGAAGCCAGCCTGTGCTGAAATAATCCCTTTAGATTGAAACTCTATCCAAATTCATTTGCTTTATACAAGCCTGGCTAAGGAATCAATTCGTGTTCTAATCCAAATTTCGTGAAACAAACAGTTTATACTCCACTTGAATTTACTAACGTAACATGGAAGTATGGAAGAAAGAGTCAACCCAAGAAACCGAAAGTAAATATTCTGGAACATTCCCCACTCCCATAAGCCCTTGCGAATAACTTCTTGACTTGCATGTCACGCAACCACCATAACTATACACTTCAAACTGCGCTGGTTACCAAACCAAGCACACTATGGGCCTGAAATTTGAAAACAGATACGAATTTAGACCCCCTTATGCCTGATAAGAAAATTTCGCGGCTCTTTAATTTTGGATTTTCGAATTTCAGGATTTCATGTGAAAATCAACAATTGTCGAAGATTGATCGTGTGGTGTAAGACTCTGAACAAAAGTGCATAAGTTACGTCCGCTCAACAAGATTGGATCGTCCTGCAACTGTACGGATTAATTCACCATTGACACTGTCAAATTTCAATTTCTCTGCACCTGGTGCTTATAAGATCCTTGATCTATTAATTGTAGAATATTGCTTGTGGCCAGTTCTCGCTCTTTTCACAAGTAATTAACTAAAAGAGCAGCTGTTTTAGTCCACATATATATTTTCAAAACCTTTAGACGTGAAACGAGTTTTGAAATCTTTCAGAGTTCTGAATATTGACCTAAAAAAAAACCTCTATTACATTCTGTCATAAGTGTTTTGATTTTAAAAGCCGAAGATCAATTTCATCGATAACTGGTTGATCGTGAAAAAGGACAATTTAACTGGTATTACAGGGATTACAAGGTATCTCGAAAACACTGACCCCCAGTCCATCGACCCCCCTACGGACCTGGTCCACGGACCCTCTACGGACCCCCCTTTACGGACCCCC